TGGGAGGTCTGAGGGGCTTTGTGAGGGTTGGGGGGGCTGAGGAACTTTGCCAGCCCAAGGGGGTGACAGGAATTTGGGGGTTGTCAAATGGCTCCCAAATCCCCAGGGACTGGGGTTTTCCCTTCCTTTGGTCGTTATTCCCAACAGTTAACGTGGTGAAAATAGGCAAGAAATTATTATCATTATTACTATTATTATTATTATCGTCATCATGTTCCCCCCAGAGCCCCCCCGAAGTCCCTGGGTTCAGATTCTCGCCCTCCTCATCCACTCAGGGATTTCTCCATGGGACATCCAGGCAGCAGGGTGTGGGGAGGCTTTTCCAGGCTCTGATCCCCACTTTCCCAGAGTTTAAATCCCACTTTTCCCTCCCCGTGGGTGCTGCTCCTGTCCCAGCCCGTTGTTGAGGGAGACCTTTCAGGGAAGTTGTGGCTCATTCCCTGTGAAAACAGAGATTCCAGAGGGATGGAAGGGGAAATGTGGGATTTAATTCCAGGTGGAGAATGGGGAAGATTCTAACTGGGATGTGGGAATTGTCCCTGAGGTGCTTTCTGGTGTAATTGTCCCCCCCCCCGGGGGTCATGAGGGTGCAATTTGAGGAGTCCCAGGAGCTTCAACTCCAGCTTGGGATGGGAGGAAAACTTGGAAAACCGGGAAAAATGGCCTGAAAATTCCCTAACAACTTCCTGAGGGCTCGACCTCAGTGTCCCACCAGATATTTTGGGTTTTTGAGGGGTTTAGGACTATTTTTCCTGCATTCTGGGCTGTGTTTCCCCCTGGATGCTCCCACGGGAAAGCTCTGGCTGCCACATCTTCCCTGGGAGGTTTTTCCTTGGATTCCATGATCCTGGAGATCTTTCCCAGCGTAAAAACAGTTCTTTTGGAAGATGTTCAGGCTTCTTCCCCTCAAAAGTTGCAGGGGGAGGGTCTGGAGAGTTTGGGGTCTTTCCTTCCCCTCTTTCCTTCCCTTCTTTCTTTCCCTCTTTCCCTTCTTTCCCTTTCCTTTTTTCCTTCTCCCTCTTTTCCCTTCCTTTTCCTTTCCTTTTCCCTTCTCCTTTTTTCCCTTCTCCCTTTTTTCCCCCTTTTCCCCTCTCCTTCCCCTCCTTGTTCAGGAATATTTTACCCCCTGAACTGCACAGTTTTACCCCTTTGAAGCAGGAAAACGTGTCCCAGTTACCTCATAAAAGATGGATGTGGGATAATCCCTCATTCCCAGCCGTGCCTGGAATAATTCCGGACAATAAATGTGTGGATTTCCCTGGAATACAGACACCTCATTATCTCCCACCTTCTACTTCCCCCCCAGGCCCCAAGAGGGACATTAAGGAATTATCCCTTTTAAATCCTGAGATGGGGTTTGGTGTTCCAGGAGCACCTTTGGGACAGGAAGAGCCGCTGGAATTGGCCTTTCCTTGTGTTTAAAAGGCTTCTGAAAACTGATTATCCTGATTTTTTTGGGGAAAAAACTGATTATCCAGAGTTTTTTGGGGGGAAGAACCCTGCAATTCCAGGCAGGCTGGTGCTGCTCCTTCTTTCCTTTGGGATAAAATCCCTGGATTGATGCATTTTGTGGCTGTTTTGGGGCAAAAATATTCACTTTTGGGTCAGAACCCCACAAGGAATGTGTGAAAAGAAGGGATAAAAAGGTTTATTTTGCTCTACTTGAACTTCACATGTTTTGGGGGAAAAAAAAAATCCCAAAGTATAGGGTTTAAATTTTCTGGGAATTCAGCAGAATTTGGGATAAAACTGGAGCTGGGAGTTCTAAAGAAAAAAACCTTCCCACCACAGCACAGGAATTTGGGCTGTTGGGGTGTTAAATCTTTATGTATTTTATTTAAATGTTATTTATATAATCTATAATGTATTTTATACATTTATGTATTTTATTTCCTGCCCAGAATTCCCTTTTCCAAACCCTCATCCCAACCCTGGGAGTGTTTATTCCCCCCTTCCCACTTAATTCCTGTTCGTTGTCCTCCTTTAAACTGAATAAAACTCTTATTTTTTGGCTGTTCAGGTGGAATTTTTGGGGGGATTTTTGAGCTTCCCCAGACACTTCACAGACAATTTGTGTTTTTTTCAGCTTTTTGGGAGGACTCTGCAGTGGTTTTTTGTGAGAAATCCCTGGATTTTTAGTGTCTGCTCCCATTTTTTAGTCAGGATTTAATTCCTTGTGCTCCACAGGGGGGTCAGGGCCCACCTGGGGCCTCCAGAGTGTTGGAAATTGGATTTTTATTGGAAAATAATTAGAAAATGCCAATTTCTGTGTACTCAGGGATGATCCCCAAGATGGAAATAACCTGGAATATGAGGCTCCATAATTCCAAAGCCAATTATCCACGTGATCCTTTTCAGGAGCCCAAAACACCCCCAAGCCCCCCAATTTTTGTTTAATTCTTTCAAACACCAGTTTTTTTAGCCGAATCTCCCTGAGACTGATAAAAACCCAGACAAATTTCTCCCTGTTTCTCACTTTTCCACCCAAATTTTCCCTGAATAATCAGTCTGGATGGAGCAAAACCAGCTCTGTAATTGGGAATTTGGGAATTGAGGGGGTTTTTTTGACTTGCTGGCTGAGAAATTTAACTATTTTCCCTCTGCTGACAGTCTCTTGTAACAATCCTCTGCATTTCCTTGGGACCTGGGGAAGTTTCCTGCAGAAATTTGGTCCTTCCAGCCAGATTTGGGTTGTTTTGCTCCACGGAAATTCCCTTAAAACAACAATATTTGATTGAAATCTGGATTTTTGGGGCAGTTTTGGGGCTTTCCTGTCTCTCTATAACCCCCCCACCTCCTCTTTGCGTTAATTCCTGTTTTCCCACTGAATTCCCACTTGGATTTAGTGGGTTTTTCCAGCCCTTCATGTTGAAAATTCCCGCTTAAAGCTAGGTTGGAATTCCCAGGGATCTGCCGGGTCCCAGGAGCTTTTCCAGGTGAAATATTAATTCATATTAATTAATTATCAAGAATTAACCATTTTATCTATCCATGGGCTTTGACTCCCATTCCCAATATTCCGTTTTCTCCTCAGAATTCCCTTTTCCAAACCCTCATTTGTTCCCCCCCCCTTAATTCCCGTTGATTTTCCTCCTTTAAACTGCACAACAAAACTCCGTTTTTTGGCTGCTCAGGTGGGATTTTTGGGGGGGATTTTTGACTTTTCTCAAAAAACTCCACAGACAACTCGTATTTTTTCCCAGCTTTTTCATGGACTTGGAGGTGGTTTTGCCCCGATTTGCTCCCGGGATGTCCCTGCAGAGGCACTTTTCAAACATCCCTTTGTTCCCTGAATCGGAACCCGGGGAACTGAAACACTCCCAAGGTGCTCCAGACCCTCCTTCCCGAGCATTCCCACCGATTTGGTTCCCAAAAATAAGATTGTAAGGGGGACTTTGGGCTCGGTTTTATTGGATTGCTGCATTTTAAGCCCGGCTTTGGGTTTAAAGCCCTTCCCAAGGGTTCTAATCCCGGGATCAGAGGTCGGGGCGGGAGCTCCAGCCTTTCCTAAGCTCCGGCTCTATCTGGAATCCCAAGGTTTTCCTGGCACAGCGTTTCCTGGTTCTGGCCACAGGCCACAGAGCAAAGCAGGGAAGTGAAACTGGGCTGGAATCCCTCGGATCCCCCTGGAATTCCCAACTCCAGACTTGCTTTTTGGGGATGAAGGAGTTTTAATTGGGAAAAGCTGGAGGCAGGAGTTTAATCCCTTCCTTTTGGGACTCTTTCCAGGTAAAAATTCCTTTTCCTGTTTGTTGGGTTTTTTTTGGTACAGAAAGGAGGGTTGATTTCATCTGGAATTTCAATCATTGGGATTCACTCCTTGGGAATGAGTTTGGGAGCTTGGAAGGAAAGTCCAGAGTGGAAAAGACTGGTTTTAAATCCAAACCCTGTTCCTGGAGCATTCCCAAGACTTGTGAATCCTTAAAAACAATCCTGGGACCTGTAAATTCTTTAAAAAAATTCTTGGGACTTGTCAATCCTTAAAAAAATTCCCTGGCACTTTTGAGTCCTTAAAAACAACCTTGATCCAGGGGTTAATTAATCCTGCAGCAAATTCCCTGTCAGGTCATTCCTGCCCCTTTTCCTACCAGGGACAAACTCTCCCAGTATCCCAAATATTTTGTGCCTCCAGATCCCTCTGTTTTCCAGAGGAAAAGGAGAATTTTGGGATCTGTTTTCCATAGAAAATGGGAATTTTGGGAGCTTTTCCCCTGCTCCATGGGGAGGTTTATCCCAGAGCCGGATCTATTGTTCCCTCACCTTTGGATCCTGGTCTTTGTTTAACCCTTATCCTGCTTTTATTTTCCCCCAGGAAAATCCCCCCCCGGAATTCCCACCTCGGAGGGTGGGTTGTGCCCCTTGAAAAAGCAGGAAGAAGGGGTTAAATCTGGGGGGTTTGGGTGCTGGTAGAGGGATTTTGCCTTTTCTGGGGGAATCAATCCTGAAATCCAGGAGTTTGGGTTGTCCCTGGGTGGGATCTGGTCCCGAAATGTTGGCATTTGTGGCAGTTTTTGTTGTTTTAGTCCCAATCTCCTTGATTTTTTCACTCGCTGTCAGGGGTTTAAAGTGGCTTTAAATTCAAGGGTTGAACTGAAGCAAATCCAGAGGGATTTGGGGCTTTATGGATATTTTATGGATAATTTATAATAGAATAAAGTTCATATTGCATAACATTTATATTGAGTATAATTTATGTGTTTGTATTAAGCAAAAAGTATATTATACAAAATACAGATTATACTTAATAAAATCTATACAGCATAGAATGTACATTGCATAAAATTCATATAGAAAATATTTACATATAACATGTAAATATATATTTTATAAATATACAAAATAATGTTATAAATATAAAAAATTTCTTATAAATACAAATTATGTGCTGTTAAATTTATAAGGTATAAAAATTATATGCTATAAAATTCATAATAGAATAATTTATGTGATATAAAATTATATTAGAAAAGGCTATATGAAATTACATATATTTATAATATATGGAGGTTATTTTATATGGGATTTATTTTATGTGCCATTTAGGTTCTAAAAATATAATATATAGAATTATTACATTTATGCTATAAACATTATAATATATAACATTACATGCAATTTATAGTATATTAAATTCTATAATATATAAATTAAAGTATAGAAATCACAGTGATTGTAGACAATATTTTATAGCATTATTTTTTATATTTCTAACATTTAATATCACCGATAACACATAAATTAAACCTGTATAACAAATACAAATTTATATCTATTTTTAGCAGGTTTTTTTTCCTGCCTGGCTCTTTTGTCCCTTTCGAATCCCAACTCCTTCCGAGCCCCTGGAAGCCCCTGGGAACACTTTGCCTCCCCCCCAGCAATTCCCTCCTTCCATCCCTTATTTTCGTTCCCTCTCTTCCAGGAATTCCGCCTGGAGCTGGACAGACCCTCCCCAGGAAGGAGCTGCTCTGCCTGTCCCACATTCCCAACAGCTCCAGGCCCCGGACTGGGAATTTTCCTCCCCAGCCCCCAAACCCTCGGAATTCCCGTTATTTCTCCCCCTTTCGTGGCCGAACTTGGAGCCGGAAATGTCTAAAAAGCAGAACACAAAAGGTGAGACGTGACAGGATCAGAGCTCCCGTTTGCCACCGGCCCAGGGCTGGCGATTCCCAAGTTTTTTAATTGGGAAAAGGCCTCGTTCTCCCTGTGGGGCCCTGTGACAGCTCCTTGTCACCGTCTCGGTGACACCGGGACCTGCCGGGCTCGCTGACATTTTTAGGAGCATTTCAGCTCCCCGCTCGGACAGCTGTGACTTCCAGGCTCTGATGGGAACAGCTCAGCCTTTCCACGGGCAGCAGGAGTGAAAAGAGCAGGAAAAAAGGGCCGTGGTGAGGGAAAAATAACAGTTGGGAAGTGGCAGAGCTGGACTTGGTGGGTTTTTTGGGATCCCAGTGGTGAAATCCCATTGCTGGGCCTGGATTTGGGGGGTGTTTTTATTCCTTATGGATTAATTCTCCCCAAATTTGGTCATGTTTTCCACAGAATTGGGGATTTGGGGACAGGATTCCTCGGAGTGGCTCGTGGGAGCCCCTCCCTAGGAGTCCAGTCAAGGAATGAGCCTGGATTTGGGGTGGGAAGGCTCAGACCTTGGAAAAACACTTCCCTCTTGGAAAAGCACCTCCAATGAACCCTCTCCAAGCCTTTTTTTCCTTGGATGGGGCACCAGGAGCAGTTTTTTCCCTCCACACCCACCTTTCTGTACCACCTCGGAGCTGATTCCAGGGGATTCTTTGTGTGGAATATTAATTCCAGAGGGTGTTTGTGTGTCGGGAGGTCACATTTTCTCTTTATTTGCACTGACTAATTAATAATTTAAGGCTCCTGAGTTGACAATTCCTGTCCTTTCCCTCCTGGAAGAGCTTTTGTTCTCCATAAAGTGGTTATTTCCAGAGGCTTTGTCACAGAAATGCCACTGACCAGAGGAGCCCTGAGCTGGATCCAGGCAATTAGTCCTGGAAATCGGGATATGGGATCATTTGGGAGTGGCTTTCAGTGGTTGTGTTGGAGTTTGAACCCTTGGAATCATTGAAGGAATCCTTTAAGGATTTAAGGAGTGGAGTCAGTTCTGTCAGTGCTGAGGGAAAATCCCACCTGGGAAGGGAATTGGGGGGTCTAGGAGGTAAAAAACAAGGGGGAAGCTGAGGGAAAAGATGGGAAGTTGTGGGAAAACATTGGGAAGGTGTTATTTTGAGGGAATTCAGGCTCTGGCCAGAGGGAAAATTGGCTTTTCCTGACATGGGGAAGGAGCTTTTCCTGACAGGTGGAAGAAGCTTTTCCCAACCCGAGGAAGGATCTTTCCCTTCCCACAAAAATGCAAATTCCGAACTCTTGAGTCTCGGCGGCCGCGTTTGAAATTCCGACCCTTCCCGGGGAGCCCCAGTGCCAGCAGATCCCATTAAGGATTCCTGGGAGCACTTCCAGGGCCGCATCCAGCGCCTTTGGGGTCGGCTCAGGCGCATAATTTGTGCATGAGAAGTGTCTGAACTCCGGGAGGATTTGGGGCCGGAGCGAAGCAGCCGGAGAAGGGGCTTGGAAGGAGCTCCCTGCCCTGGGAATCCCAGCACTTCCAGCTGGGAATGGGCACTTGCCAGGGCTCAGGAGCCTCTTTAATGTCCTTGGTGGTGATTTGGGATCAGTCTGGACAAGGGGATGGAGGCACCTTCAGGATGGCACCGAGTTGGGTGGGATGTGGGACGGGACAGAGGGATGGGCCGGGCTGGATCCGTGGGATCCTGGAACTCTGGGATTCCTTCCCCAGGATCCTCAGTGGCTGCTCTGCCGTGAAAATTTTGGGGGAAAACATCGTTAATTCCCCCTGTTGAGGTGAGGTTGGAGCCCCTTGGAAGATGAAGGGCTGGAATGCTGGGGAGTGACGTGGGGGGGTGGGAAGGTGGATCCAGCCAAGGGGCTTTGAGGGATTTATCCTCTCAGAATCCAGGGCTGACCTTTCCATCATTCCCAGGGCTCTGTCACTGTGTTTGGAGCTGTGGGGGAGGAAAAGCTCCGTCAATGTCTGGGAGTCAATGGGGCGTCTCCGACCCACGTCCTGGTTATTTACAGGAGGGGGGGGTGAGCCAGAGGCTCTGGGATATCGGGAATGTCGGTGGGGATGGAGCAGGGAGGGCAGGGACACAGCCAGGGACACCGGAGGGGCTCTGCAGGAGAACTGGGGGGTGGGATCCCCAAATCCTGGGGAGCTGCCAAGGAAAAGGGATCTGGGTGTGTTTACTGGGACAGAAATGGTGTGACCTGGGGGTCAGGTCTCAGGAGGGAACAGGTGTCATGGAATTTCCGGGGAGTCCTGGAATTATTACGGTTGAAAGAGCCCCCTCAAACAGTTGGATTTGTTGTCTCAGGGGGCTTTTCCAACTGTAGTAATTCCAGCACCAAGAAGGTCATGGGATTTCCAGGGGGTTCGTGGAATTAGTAAGTTTGGAAAAGCCCCCTTGAACAGTTGGATTTGGTGTCTGAGGGGACTTTTCCAGCCTTAATAATTCCTTGAAAGGGGCGGTGGTGCCAAATGGGGTCATTCCAGACCTCGGGGTCCTGTTTTTATCCCCTCCAAGGCCCTTCCTGAGCCCTAAACCACCATATTTTATCCCAGAAAACCACAGCAACATCCCTTTTCCTTCTTAAAACCTGGAATTAGACCTGCCTGGCAGGAAATCCCCCCGGGAATGGCTGGGGATGTGCAGATTTATGTGACCTTTTGGATGTCAGTGATGGCTCGTCTCCGTTTATGGGTCTCTTGGAGCATCCAAACATTCCCTGGGAGCTCCTGGAACACAAACTGCTGGATCTTCATTCCCATTTATCAGTCTGGATGCCACTGGTGTCTCCAGGAGAAGGAAATTGGTATCCAAGGGCTGCTCCAGAGGCTCCTTAACTCTTTGTTGCTGGGATCAGGGGAGGTTTAATGTGGGGATGAGGGGTGGGAATGATCATTGTTCATCCCAGTCTCTGCTCTGGGGGATCCCAGGGAATGGCTGGAGCTGTGCCAGGGGAGGGTTTAGGCTGGATTTGGGGATAAATCCAACTCCCAGGGGGTGGTGGGGCCCTGGAACAGCTCCCCAGGGAAGGAAGAGGCTTCAAACCTGCCAGAGCTCAGGGAAAGGCTCTGAGAAGTTGGGATTTGGGGAATTAGGGAGGTTTTGGGATATCCTGAGCAGGGCCTGGAGCTGGACATTGATCCAGGATAGTATTCCATAATTCCAGAGGTCAGGGAGGGTTTGGACAACACTCTCAGGTGCTGGGATTTTGGGATTAGTGGGATTTGGGGGTCCATATTCTCCTTAGCACAGTTATTTAGGACTTTCCTTTTCCCACAGATCCCTCGGGATTTATCTTTGATGTTCAGTCCAACACTGTGATGGCCCAGGGAGGGACCTTTGAGAACATGAAGGAAAAGGTAAAGGAGCCTTTGGAGTCTTTATTCCAGATAAATCACCTCCCACGGCCCAAATTCCAGCCATTTTCCATGTTTTCCCCCCAGATCGGAGCTGTCCGAGCGATCGTTCCCAACAGGAGCAACAACGAGATCGTCCTGGTCCTGCAGCACTTTGACAACTGTGTGGACAAAACAGTCCAGGCCTTCATGGAAGGTGGGAATTCTGGGATTTGGGGTGGAATTTGGGGTGTGGAAGGTTCATCCCGTGTTTGTGGACAGGAATTTGGTGCCCAAACCTGTGAAATGGCAGAGCCAAAGGGGAGATTTCGGGGATTTTTTTCCTCAGAAACTTGGATTTTTCCCCTGGAAAATGGGATTTTTCCCCCCAAAAGTGGGATTTTCCCCCTGTATCCCAAGGGAGCAACATCTCAACTGGGAATTCCCAAAGCCCAGCTCAAACCCCTCCTTTTATTCCATCAACCAGGAGATTTGAAACCTGGTTTTCCAGGTGTGGAAGCACCTCCAAGTGTCTGGGAAGGACCTGAAATGCTCCTTTTCCCACCTCTCATCCCTGTTTTCCTTTGCAGGGAATGCCAGTGAGGTGCTGAAGGAATGGACTGTGACAGGCAAAAAAAAGGTACCACTCCTTAAATATTCCCTAAAACCTTTGGAATTTGGGGGATCCAGTTGGGAATGGTGGGAAAGGGAATCCCAGGGGGAGTTTGAGCTGCACCTTGTGGGGACCTGGCACAGAAATTCCCTGTTTTCCTGTGGGATTTCCATGAGATTTCCCATGGGATTCCTGTGATTTTCCATGGCATTCCTATGGGATTTTCCAATAGGATTCCCATAAGATTTCCAATGAGATTCCCATGAGATTCCTGGGATTTCCCCTGAGATTTCCTGTGGGATTCCAGTGGGATTTCCATGAGATTTCACAAGACATGACACCTTCACACCTCATTAATCCCCCTGCATTCCCATGTTGTGGGATAAATCCCTCCTCCTCAAACCCATTTAACTCCCTTCCCTTCCAGCCAGAATTCCCTCCAGGAATCACAAATCCCCTCAGGAATCACAACTAACGTATTTTTTCCCCCCCACCAAAATTCCCAGAACAAAAAGAAGAAACCCAAACCCAAACTTCCCAGTGGCTCCAGCTCTGCCCTCCCAGCCCCTGGAAAACCAGTTCCTCCTGGAGAGGAGACCCCGGGAAACTGGGAGAAGGGGGGGATGAACGGATTCCACGTGAACGGCTGCGCCCAGGACACGGAATCCGTGGATTCCCTGAGCGAGGGCCTGGATGGGATGTCGATGGATGGCAGGGAAGTGGATGGTCAGTGCTGGAAAACCAGGAATGGGAGTGGTGGGGAGGGGCTGAAGGGCATTTAGGGGGATTTTCCTTGGGTTTGGGTCCTAAATCCTGATTTTCTGGTGGGGTTTTTGAGGGATGTTTTTGGGTCCTAAATCCTAATTTTTCCAGGTATTTTTTCAGCACAGCCTTGATTTTCTGGTTGGTGTGTTGTTTTTTTTTTTGGGAGGTATTTTCCTTGGTTTTGGGTCCCAAATCCTGGTTTTTGCTGGATTTTTTGGCTCAGTTTGCCTTTCCCCAGCAGAGCCCGGCCTAAGGAATGGACTGTCCGGCCCTGACCCCCCAAGGCTCCCCATCCCCCCCCCCAGGGCTCTGCCCACCCCCCACTCCGACCCCCGGGAAGAGGCTCCGGTGTCACCCCCCGGCAGGAAAATGGGTAAGGACACAAAACCTTGGGAATGTGGGGGGATTGGAGGGTGTGGAGCTGCTCCTGGAGGAGGAGAGGCCTTGGGAGCGGGGCTTGGTTAAGCCAGACTGGGAGGGGAACTCATCAGTCTGTAAAATATGTCAGATATCCATAAAATATGTGTCAAATATCCATAAAAATACAGGGAAAGCTGCTCAAGCCTTGGATAATGGAGGGGAGACCATAAAGCCGTGGATTCATGGAATGGTCTGGGTTGGGAGGGGCACTGAAGGTGATCCAGTGCCACCCCCTGCCCTGGGCAGGGGCACCTCCCGTAGTCCAGGTCCTTCCTCCTCCTCCTCCCAGCACAGCAGGAATTCCAGCACTTTCTCTGGAGCAGGGAGAGCTCATCCCTCCCCCCACGTCCCGTCACATCCCGGGGCTGTTCCTGAGAACCTGTGAAGGGTCAGGCCGGGGCTGTGACAACGAGTGACAACAAGTGACAGCCCTGGAGGGGGTTCCCCCCCCTTTTGGGGTGTTTTGTCCAAATCTGGGATGTGACAATAACAGGGAGGGACAGGAGGGACCTGGAGACCCCCCGGTGACCGGGGAGGTTGTGCTGGGGGGGTTGGGGGTGCAGTTCAGGGAATGGTGGAACAGGATCCGTAATTTCACTTGGCAGGAGCCAAACTCTGCCCCCGGGACCCGAAAGGACGGGTCCTGTCACCTCCTGGTGGGAGGATTTTCATCCCTTGGAGAGTCCAGACATTCAATCCCGGAGAAGTCATGGGTTTCCCATCCGTGGCAGTGTCCCAGGCCGGGTTGGAGCCACCTGGGATAGTGGGAGATGTCCCGGTGGAGGTGGAACTGGATGAGCTTTAAGGTCCCTCCCAACCCAAACCATTCCATAATCCCATGAAATTCCCTTCCCAGACAAACCACTGCTCTCCCTCGTGCTGGGCTCTGGAGCAGCCTGGGCTTTGCTCCTCTCCAGCCCAAACCCAGCCCAGGGCTGCATTTGACCCCTGTTTCTGGAGCATCCCTGCCCGTGGGAAGGATCCAGAGGCTGGACTTGCCCGTTCCCTCCGTTGCAGGGTCGAACATCGAGAAGTCGGTGAAGGACCTGCAGCGCTGCTCCGTGTCCCTGGCGCGGTACCGGGCCCTGCTCAAGGAGGAGATGGACACGTCCATCAGGAAGATGAAGCAGGTCTTTGCTGAGCTCCAGAGCAGGTGGGTGGGAGTTTGGGGATGGATCCTGCTCCTGGGATGGCTGGAATTGGTTGTCCAGCGGGGTTTTGGCTGCACCACCCCCTGGGAGTGTCCCAGGATGGTGAGAGGTATCGCTGCCCGTGGAGCTGCGTGGGCTTTAAGCTCCTTCTCAACCCAAAACATTCCATGATTTTCCCTGAATTATTCCAGGCTTGAGCAGCTCTTCCTGTTTATTTGCCTGGGATCATGGAACAGTTTGGGTTGGAATCACCTTTAAAGGGCATTTTCCTTCCCTGGGGGCTCCAGGAGCTGCAGATGGACAAAGACAAGGGGTGAGGGGCTTCCATCTGGAAAAAGGGGAGATTTCGATGGAATTTTGGGATGAAATTCCTGCCTATGAGGCTGTGAGGGGCTGGGATGGATTTTCCAGAGGATTTCCCATCCCTGGGAGTGTCCCAGGCCAGGTTGGATCCCCCGGGATAGTGGGAGGTGTCCCTGCCCACAGCAGGGGTGGGACTGGACGAGCTTTGAGGTCCCTCCCAACCCAAACCATTCCATGAATCCATGACTGAAACCAGCCAGGTTTGTGCCTTGGTTTGCCCTCTGAGCTGAGCTGGAAGGAGAAGTTTTGGGATCTTGTGGCCTGCTCCTGCCTGTCCCTGGAGGAACAAACATTCCCATTTGAAACCCTTAAATTAGGCTTGACTCGGATGTCACCAGGGAGGTCTAAAAACTCATCAAAAGCCTTGTTTTCCCATTTTAATCCAGGCTTAAACTGTGCCCTTTGTGTGTAATTAGTGCTGGGGTTTAATTGGGGCTGGGTTTGTGCTGGGGATGGTGTTTGGAGCAGCTGATTGAACCCAGCCTTGAGAAACTGCACAAATATTGGGTTTGGGGGAAGAAAATATCCATAAAACAAGAAAACATCCATAAACCCCTGCCCTGGGTTGACAAGGAGCTGAAATCCTGCTCCCGCATCCCGGGATTTCAGCAGCTCTTGGTGTCAAAAGCTGTTTGTGTCAAAAACCTGACAGTTTTAAATTACTAAAACCAAGAATTTAAAACCTTTTAGCCAGTTTTGCCTGCTCATTGTGGCCTTGTCCTTGTGCTCCTGCAACATTCCCACTGGAAAATGCTTCCCTGAAGGAAGTGGGGGTTTTTTCCAGGCTTAAAATCAGCTTAAAATCAGTTAAAATGGGAATCAATGAGTCTGGAATTTCCCTGAGGGTTTGGGTCGAAGGTGCCCAGGGGGTTTTGGGGTCTCTGGGCTGAGCCTGGAGAACTCCCAGAGGGAATTCCAGCTTTTTCCCAGCTGTATTGTCTTTATTATATAATTATATATATTTACATATTATTAGATATACACAGAATATATTATAATAATAATTTTGATAATATATCTTATAATTACCTACAATGTATTATTATCTATATTATATAACATGAACTATATTATTATCAAAATTCTATATTATTAGAGTGGGGGCTTAAGGATGTTTTAACCTCTCCACACAAATTCCACCTGTAAAAACCTTCTTCCAGGTCTGGAAAACATCCTTTCCTTGGATTAATCCTGGTACTAATTCCTGGTTAACAGAGATTAATCCTGGTCTCAATTCCTGGCTAACAGAGAATAATCCTGGGAACAGGATGAGGCCCTGAGACTGTTCCTGCATTATAATTAATCATTAATTAAGGAATATTTAATTAACCCACGTTCCCACCCTTCTCCAGATCCGGGAATTCTGGATGCTCACACAGAGATGGGCAGGAGGGAAAGGGAACCTGTGGGAGGGGAAGATCCAGGTGTGAACACTCTGGGAATGGCTGGGAATGGCCTGAAATGGCTGGGAATTCATTAATTAAGGCTGGGAATGGCCTGAAATGGCTGGGAATTAATCAAATAAGGCCACATCCCCCCTTTCTCCCCCAGCTCCCGGAACTCCTGCCCTTTCCAGGGGACACTGAGGCACCTGTGGGTGCTGCACATCCAGGTGTGGCCACTCTGGGAATTCCTGGGAGCAGGGAGAAGCCTCATTCCCGTGGCTCTGCCCCTTCCCTGCCCTGGAAAAAGGCAGGAGGAGGGAGCCATAAATCACCAGAAGCAGCCAAATGTCAGAGCTGCTGTTCCAGGGAATTGTGGAGATTGATCCCCCTCCCTCCCAGGGAAGGGGGGGTTGGTATTTCAGTGCCTCAGACAGGGACTAAATTAAACATTCTACCCATTTTCCAACATTTTTCCCTCAAAAAAGGCGAGGGATGAAGGGCTGACCCCGCTGTCCCCCGGTGGCTCCGAGGGGGGAACAGGGACAGGAGGGTTTGGGCTTTTGTAGTTGGGAATGAAAAGGGAAATGAGCCCAATTAAAGGGCTGGATTTGAATTCCTGACTCACCTGGAGCAGTGGGAACCAGGAACGGGGGCAGGGGGGGCTTAGAGGGGCCCAGGGTCTGTCTGGGAGCCAGTTCCTGCACAAAGCCAGACTGGGGGGACTGGGATTCCTTTGGGGTTTGTTGGCACCTGGGGGAATGGGTGGGAAAGGCTCTGGAGTGGGAGCAGAGGGATGTGGAGATCTGGGAGGCTCTGGGGCACCCGAGAGGGTTCTGCCTTCCCTGGGGGGCTGTTCCTCACCTGAGAGGATTTGGGGTCACTTGGGTGGGCTCGGGGTGACCTGAGTGGGCTCTTGGTCACCTAAAGGGGCTCTGGGGCACCTGAGGTTGCTTTGCCTCCCCTGGGGGGCCTTTGGGTGACCTGAGGGGGCTCCGGGACACCCGAGGGGTCTCTGTCCCCCCTCTGGGATGACTCTGGCCCAGGGGTCGGTGCTGCTGTTCTGGGGGGATTTCAGTCTCCTGAGGCCCTGGGGCTGTGCCCTGCTCAGGTGTCCCGTGTGTGTCCCCCCCGTGTGTCCCCCCCGTGTGTCCCCAAGGGCCTCAGGCACTGCAGAATCCACGTGCTGGGCCCTGCAGGGCTCCAGGTGAGCTCCAGGTGCTCCGTGGGGCTCCCAGTTCCTGCTCCCCAGTTCATCCTCCTGTCCCCAACTCTCTGCTCCCGGTTCCTGCTCCCCAGTTCCTCCCGCCCCCAGTTCCTCCCTGTCCCCCCTCTCCCCTCCCCATTCCAGCCCAATCCGGGGCTCTCCGGGCGCTTCCCGCGGTTCCAGCTCCACCTGCCGGTGTGTCCCGGCTGGATCCTCCTTCCGGAGCCTTTCCCTGCCCTCTCCAGCACTAAATCCCTTCCCTTTTCCCTGTTTTCCGCAGCCTCATGGACCGGGAAGTGGCTTTGCTGGCCGAGATGGACAAAGTGAAGGCAGAAGCAAGTAAGGGGCTGTTCTTGGAGGGGTTTTCCCAGGATTTCCCTCCTGTTCCCATCATTCCCAAACACCTCAGAACTCCATCATGGCTATTACAAACCTCCCCAGAGGGTGGGAATTCCCGAAATCCTGACATTCCTGGGGATGGAAACAGCTTTTCTGCTCACCTTTAAGGTCCCTCCCAACCCAAACCATTCCATAAAATTCCATGAAATTCCCTTCAGGGTTTCTCCTACATCCCACCTTTTGGGATAGGGGGGCTGATGGGATTTCCCTGACAGAATGGGGACAAATCTAATGGAAAAGACCCAATTCCAAAGGTGACAAAGGGACAGAGCTGCTCCCAGTGTCCCTCCTGGAGCTTCCACCTCTGGTTTGGTGCCTGTTTGGAGCTGGAATTACCCCAGGGAGGGGCCTGGGGGGTCGGGGGGTGGTTTTTCCCTGATCCAGGGCTGTTTTCCCAGTGGAGATCCTGGTGGGGAGGCAGAGGAGGGCGGAGGCCCTGCGGAAACTCACGGACGGGGCCGCGCGGATGTCGGAGGAGCAGCTGCTGGAGCTCAGGGCTGACATCAAGGTGGGCCCGGGGGGCACCTGGGGGGGCACCTTGAATTCCAAACACTTTGGATTCCAAACAGAATTTAAAGTGGTTTTGTGAAATCCTGATTTCACCCAACACCTGGGGAAAGTTCCACCTTCCCTGAATTCCCTGAACCCCCTCCTGTCCTGGGCTGAACCAGGAGGGTCTCCCCCATCCACCCCAGAACTGGGAGGGTCTCCCTGTTCCCTGCTCCCGTTCCCAGCCCAAATCCCCCCTTTTTCCCTCTTTTGGCAGCACTTTGTGAGCGAGCGCAAGTACGACGAGGAGCTGGGCAGGGCCGGCAGGTTCACCTGCGACCTGGAGGGGCTCAAGAGGAGCATCACCTGCTTCGGCCAAGGTGGGCTGGGGGCTCCTGGGGCACTCACCTGAGCCCTCCATCTGCTCCCAGAGGATCCTGTCCAGAATCCGTGATCCCAGCCCCTCTGACCCCTCCCCTGCTGTCTCTGTTCCAGTGTCCCACCCCAAGACCAGCTATTCCAGCCGCTCCACGCTGCAGCTCCGGCCCCCCGGGCCCCCCGGCCCCCCAGTGCCTCCCCCACCCACCAGCCTCGGCCGGGAAAGCCCCGGAGCCCGCCCAAGGGGAGCCTTATGGGGACACAGGGGGAGGACGGCCCCGGCCCCCCCCGAGAGTGGGTCTGGCAGAGGTGTGGGGGGTCTGGGGGGCTCGGGGTTCCCTGGCATGGATCGGCCTATTGGATTGGGGGTTCCGGGGGTGTTTTGAGGGTGGGTCCAGGTTCTCACCCCCCTCTCATTCTCAGCCTGTCCCGAGATTCTGCCAAGGGATTTAGGTGGTTCCCAGAGCGGGATTTGGGGGTCCAGGCGGAGGGCGGTTTGGAGGTTCCCAGATTCTCCAAGGATTTGGGGTTCCAGGGGAGGGGTTTTGGGGGTCCTGTTTCAACCCCCTCCATTCTCAGCCTTCCAGCGGATCCGGAGCGCGGAAGGGAAGGACGCCCGAGCCCGACCCCGCGCACAACGGCCCCCCCGAGCTCGGCCCCAACACGCGGACCCGCCGGCCCCCCGCAACCCTCCGACCCACGGGCCCCCCCACAGCCCCCCGGGGGGGGCTCCCCCCACGGAGACCCCGCAAGAGCCACCCCAAGGGAGCGAATTCCTGAGGAAAACTCTGGGATCCTGACAGGGGTCCCAGCCACGTTTACAATTCCCGTTCTGTGCCATCTCCCCTCCTTTTTACCCCTTTCTCCCCCCCATCCTGGTCTGTTCCATGTTGTCCCATCGGGATTTGGGGGCTCAGGACCCCCCCAGTGCTGCCATCGCCCCCCCTTCTCCTTCTTCTCCATCCCAAAAATCCCTCGCGCTGGAAGCGAGGAGGAGCGGGGGGAGGAGGGGCCTCTGACCCCCCCCCGGATCTGGAATGTTCTCCTCTGGGAACTGGGGAGTCCCCTCTGTCTCCCCCAAATCTGGGATGTCCCCTGAGACCCTCTGGGATCTGAGGTGTCCCCTCTGTGTCCCCCCAGGATCTGGAATGTTCCCTGTGGGATCTGGGGTGTCCCCTCTGACCTCTCTGTGACTGAGGGGGGGTCCTCTCTGTGTGTGCTGGGATTGGGGGGGTCCCCTTAGCTGCACATTTCAGCTTTTTTCCCTGGATTTTCTTTGGGGAATTTCCTTCATTCCCATCTCAGTTCCTTCCCCCCCACCAAAATCCCCTTCACAGCAACACCTGGGAGCAAATCTCAGACATTCCTGGGAACAAGGACAGTAAATCCAAATAGGGGAGGGCTGGGGGGGTCCCCAACTTTTCTGTCCCCCCCTTTTTTCCATGGTTTTTTTCCAAGTTTGATTTTTTTTTGTTGTTTTTTTTTCTTCTCTTTAATTAATTACAACTTCGGAACAAATCAATGAAATGTTGAGCTTTAAAAATTTTTTTGGGGAGGGGGGAGGAATTCAGGGATGGGGGTTGGGAGGGTTGTCTGTGTGTGTCCCCCCCCAACTCACCTGGGCCAGGTAAAGGGGAGGGGCACCCCAATATCTTTGGGGGGGTCCCAGTTGGCTCTTGGGGTGCCCCAAGCAGCCCCTCACCAGGGGTAGTGATGACTTTATTGGAAGCAGTTTGGGATGGGGGTGGTGCTGGGGGGTCCCAACCCCCCCAGTGCCAAACTGGGACCCCAATCCCCCCTCACCCCCCTCACTGCTGGGCCAGCTTGGCCGCCTCGGCCTTGATGAGGGCGATGAGGTCCTGGTTGATGAGGAAGACGA